GTCCCCAGGCTCACTGCTATTGGCAAGGCTTCCCTGCTCCACACACAGACTGATAGCAGACGAGGTGGTGCTGGGGGTAATGTTGTGTGTGAAACATTTTAAGCATAGTGTATTTGAGGATCAAAGGCTTTTTTAAAGGTTTGTGTCTGTAGAGAGTCCCATGTGTACTACCTGGAACCATCTCTTCATGTGTGTACATGTACACCAACAAACCTCCAACCTACTATTATTATTAGACTGATAATACTGATGCCTTAAGCATTTTTCTGTTGTAGCTGGTTGAGGTGGAGCTACTTTAATTAGGTAGTTTTGTCCAGCGGTTCCCATCACAGGGCACAGACCCTTCAACTGATTACAGGATAAATTTGAGGAGGGGTGAATAATGGGCCAGAAATGGAAAAATATTGCTACACAAATTCTTTCTGCTTTGTTTTTCTTTCTGCCTCTGATTAGTTATTTAAATGAGCCATCTAAGAGATTTAGAGGGGAAATTGCTCTTTGGTGGAACTGCAAATAGCCTACAGACATATGAAGTGTGACAAAGGTTCCCAGTAGTCCAAAGGTTTGGACCAATCTGAATTCTAAAAACCAGATGTGCACATATTAGTTTTCAAAAAAGAGAGTTCTGATCCAAGGGAGACCTGAGAACCTTCAAACCCAACCCACTTAGACTGATGGAACATTAGACCTGAACCAAAATGTGGTGGACCAGAACTGAGAAAAACAAACACCAACATATAGCAGCTTATCAATAAGTTTGATCAGTTAACTAGCTGCCACAAAAGCAAAAACAGCAATATAATAATAACAATAAAAATAATAGCTTGCTTCATAGTCAAATTATATAAAAATTGAAAGGCCTAGTTCCACATTTTGCACTAACAGTAAAACACTGTGTAGCCAACTGGATAATAATCATATTCCAAAACATTTATGGCATACATCTTGTTTGCTATTGATTTTCTTACAGTACGCTAGATGTGAGTTTCCTTGTCAGAACAAAGTTCTGGTGAACTTTGAAGTTCTCCTTCACTCTCTCACTTCCAAACACTGTGCACTCGGGTCCATTCAGATCCACTTGGGTATTATATTAACACCCAGATGCAAAACCCGTGGCAGTAAAATGAGATTCGACCCGGTTAGACTGAGCAGAAGCTGGGTCTGTCTCTCACAACCTGTGTGATCTGTAGTGTTGTACACATTTAGCAGCTGGCACTGACTGACATTAAGATATTGTATGTGTTCGGGTCTAAAATGGTTCTTGCAGCCAGGAAAGAGCGTTGCAGGAACCAGCAGTACATGGGTGACGGGAGAGAGAGGAGAGGACTCTCTGTGTTCAGCAAACTGAGGAAAGTGGAGCAGATCATCTCTCACTTGTGGACTGATAGGTCCAAGCTCTCTCTCCTGCCTTGACTTAACTTTCTGTGTGCTAATACACATGTACAGTACTGCTTGTGTGCATTAATGAGAAAGAATGAATATGAGAAACAAAAATGAAAGGTTTAGCTGACCAGTTGTTTGTGTGGCACGTCACTATAGAAAAGAACAACACTGAGTACGAGGATCAGGTTCCCTCACCCTCGTCATGCTTTCACCTCTAAAAGAACCATTCCACACAGGGGAAGCAGTGCGTCCCTAGACAAAGCCCCTGTTGTGTGTGTGCAGACCCCCCAGCGTGAACCCAAACCATACACACAGCAATAGGCTACTTTAAGAGTTTATCTGGCTCTAATAGACTCACTTGTACACTGTTCCCAGCCTCTAAATCTCCAGGATAACTCTGTGTGTGCAGAAAATGCTGCCATGCCCTAATGTGGCTGACAAAGAACACAGTGGTTCAGCCTCTCTGAGCCTTTTTTCTTTGAAATTGTAATCTCCTACTGTATCTAGGAAACACCAAGTGTACAGTTCAATATACTGTATCTGAGCTAAATAAAATGTTGAATAGATCTGGGATCTGATGCCACTTACATTTGTCATTTGAAACGTATACTGCTGGCTCCTCGGAGTTATTATTAATGTGGCAAAAACATACTTCTGCTGCATTATAGCACAGACACCATAAGAGCCTCTCACAGCATCGTTCATGAACACTCTCTGCATGTTTTCCCAAGCTGACTGTGGCTGGGCGTTTGCCCCGCACCAGCCTCAGTGCAGGGGCCTACTGGGCTTGTTTCCACAGGTGGCCTGACCTCCAGATCAGCGCAGCAGCCGTGCTCAGTCTGCTGCCATTATAGATCCTCAATCAACATTTCATATGAGCACAATGCCATGTGGCCCTGCCTGAGGCGAAGACTGACTTTTGTACTTGGCTGAGAGAGGCTGACACAATAAGGAATAATGTCTAGTAGCCAAATGACTTCACATGTTTTTGTACCAGACTTCTTTCTCTTTTTCTTTTTCCCTTTTTGAAACCCATGATGAGAGGTTTCAGTAGTTTTGTTTGTATCGTGTCAGAAGGTCCAGTGGCATTTGGACTTTAGGATTGCCACATGTAATGCTGTGCCGTATTAACCCTAAAGTGTACAGCAGATTTTGCTTGAAAGACCAGATACTCTTGTCATAATAAAAGAGTAAAGGGGTTCAAGCAGGCCTTGATTTCTTCAACAACGCCATCATCTTATAGGCGTAGCTCTCTGTGGTGTAGTATGTTACAAATAATATAGAGGACAAGGTGTAAGGAAAGATATTCCATTAGAGTTCATTACAGTGGGCCATATTTATCAGGTGATTACATATGTGTTTGTTTCCTAACTTGCCTCTCTCTCTCTATAAGGCATGTTGTTGCTATCCACTGTTCACAGTCCCTCACCAGCTGACAGATGGTCCCAACCAGCTACTCTCTGACAACAAACACACAGTGAAGAGTCACTGACAACCTGCTTCAGGAAGGGCTTCGACTGGCCTTCAGAATGTGTGCATGTGTGTGTGCAATGTGTTCTTATTCGTTGTGTTACACTCTGTCCGCACAGCTAGTGTATGGGGACTCATCATTCAACTTGGCTCTCTAACACAAATAATCACAGGGTCCAACCACATGTTGCATCTCCTCTGCACAGGGCTCTGACAGCTGTCAATCACTCAGCTGACTCGTAAACATTCCCTTGGTGGGCGCAGTTATTAAATCAAACTGTACAAATATAGTTCATCTAATGCTAGTAATTGTTGGTTATTGATGTAACCCCTTCTAATGTTTGCTTATTGATTTAACCCTATGTTATATTTAGATCTGGCTGGAAAGACTGGTAATATCAGATTCCATAGGGAGTCTGTTTTAAAAGATCTCTAGCTGTTTAGTTTAAGGCCCGGTTGTGGACATGTTGATGACTTTGCATGCTTTGGTGTGCAGGCCTTTTCCTCAGAACCACCTAACAACCCCACCAGACTGCTTCAAACACGTGGAGCATGACTGCACACCCAGAACTTACAAAAATCTGTTGTTATTTAGGAACTCTCTGAAACATTTTCAAATCTCTATTTTTAAAAGTCTATGGGGTTGCTTTTATCACTTTGGCTGCACTGGCCAGGAAGCGAACCTAGGTCTCCTGCGTGGCAGGCGAGAATTCGACCACTGTCGGCAGCATGACAGATAAGCTGTTAAGTCCAGTTTCAAGTTTGTATTTTTCAAACCACAACAGTAGGGCCTTGTGGGACCCATATGCAAGTTATCTTTTATTATATACACTGGACTTTGTCACGTTTCCCAGTAAAATGCCCAGAGATCCATATGAATATCAATTCTGCAGTGCAAGGCTGCTTCCAATCATGTTAGAGTCTTTGGCACAAATTGTGGTTGTTGACTGTGCAGTGGAGACTTTAGTTTCCTGGCCTTAGCCCTTAAGGCAATAACCAGGCAATAAAAGCACCACCATAAGTCTGTGTTGAGACTGACTTTAGCCTCATGTAGCCGTCTCATTCATGTGAATGAGGCAAATGCACTGAGGGCACCAATGTACAAGGCTCTGGCTAAACACGCAGGGTCCCCGACCAACACCTATCAACCTGACTCCACCTTTTCTAGAACTGTGCTGTATTTTTCTGTCCATATGTTATGAATATGTTACTGCACCATCCCTTCATAAATCTTATTTAAATCCAGTGCTCCACACTGACTATTTGTCTCACTTCCTTCTTTTAATTATATACTGAGATAGCTCTGTTGTGATATGTCACTGTACATGACAGTTCATTCTGGTTTCCCTCTACCACATTTTGGTTGCTAAATCAACACCTCAGTTTTAAGTGTAAAATGTGGTTCTCTGTTCTAGCTCTCTGTGGTCTGTTGCCGTAGAATAAAGCTGAAAGTAAAATGGGACTTTCCAACTGCTTGAGTGAAACCTCTGTTTGCCTACCAATATGTGAGTGTTAACCTGTAATGCCTCTGGCCTATAGATTGTGGGGGAGTGTGTTTGTCTGTGGTGTGGCATGGAGCCTTTGCTGTTTTAGCTGTGGTCTCGCTGCCTTGTCTGTACGTGGTCATTGAACCTAGAAGAACATATCAAACAAACTGTCCAACACAGACCTGGAAGAAGATTAGATTACTCTCAATATGAGGGTATGTGTCGACTGCACTGCATAACCAAAGGTCAACAGTTCTCTGACCTTCAGGGAGTGGTCTCCAAGCTTGGATGGAGGAGTGTGAAACTCAGTGGGTTTAGACCTTACCTTGCCTTATGGCACAATACAAATTTGTACCAAACATCATTTTTAACAGTCAAGTTACTGCTTCTGTTTTTCTAACTTCTGACTGTAAGTCCCAGCCTTTTTAATATTCTGATCCACTCAGGCGGTGCTAAGCCATCAAAAGGATATGACAGGCACTCAGCAGCACTTGTCTCTCTGTGTTAAGTTACAACAGTGTTGTTGGAAAACCATCAGATAACTCCACACGGGCATTCAGGAGTGCCATCAGGAATGTGTCAGTTGTGCATGCATGTGTGTGTGAAAATGTGCATGTGCACCACAGCTGTCATTAGTGGATATGTTTTTGTCTCCAACAGAACTGAGATCTACCAGCACCGCTCATCACTTTGCCTACCTCCTCAACACATCCGACTATCGGATCCTGCGTATGGATGAGGATCATGACCGCATGTACGTCGGCAGCAAGGACCACATTCTCTCCCTGGACCTCCATGACATCAACAGTGATCCACACATTGTAAGACTATTTTCATGTTCCACCTCTTCTCACCCACACCCTTGGCACCTGTCATAGGCTATTACACTAGGATCAAGCAATACCTCACCACGCACCAGCTTCCCCAAGCACAAAATGTTCTATTGCCCCAGCAGCCATTTTATTTAGCTCACATTTGCATTTTCTGTTGCTGTGTCATTAAAACACTGTAACTGTGTTATGACAGTCCCAGCTGGAGTAATATTAGCCTTGATGGATTTTACTTGTGCAGTTTTTGCCCCAGAATCTTATAAATGCCAGTGATGTATAATGGGTTGGATTATAACTGTAAAATGTCCTTTGTTCCCACCTCGCAGATCCACTGGCCAGTGTCCGAACGAAGAAGGATGGAGTGCCTTGTGAGTGGGAAGGATGCTAATGTAAGTATGCATGTTAACAGCACACACAACCTCACCAGGGACATTCACTTGAGGTGATTTCCATCACCATGATTACAAGAAAAACTGAAAATATATAGTTTTTCGAATGGATTGCATTGCAAGCAATCCACCTCCCTCCATAGTGCTCATTGCTTTTAACCTGTTAAAATGGTCTCATCTATGGAGTTTGGTCTTGGCCCTGTAAAAAAGTTGCTTCCTCTCTGTCTGGCAGAGAAGCACCAGTCAATTTTATCATTGTCATCTCTGGTAAGCCAGGGTGGAGAGCACAACCCCAATGGCTGAGAAATTCATATATTGTCCAAATATATAGAAAACCACATTATAACTGGTACATGTTTAAATTTGAGACACTCAGGAGTAGCATGCTGTAAATCTGCATGTCCCATTAAAATAAGGCTATGAATTGCTTTTCATTTGAATATTTATTGCACTTATATTGACTCTGGTCTTTCTGTTTCCAGGAGGAGTGTGCAAATTTCATTCGTCTGATCGAGCCATGGAACCGGACTCAACTGTACGTCTGTGGGACAGGAGCTTACAATCCAGTCTGCACCTTTGTCAATCGTGGACGCAAACCTCAGGTTGGGATTAAAGAAGTGATCTCGCTGTGAAAGTGATCAGCTTAGTAAACATAAACAGGTTTCTCACATTTCTCTTCATCCACCTTACTCTTGGATATGATGATTCTCCTCGTCCATTATTCTTAGCTACCACGTCTCTATGCCTGGTACAGCAACCTACACAGCTTCACCAGCACACAGCTGTCATCCCCAGTGAGCTGTTCAGCAACTCTGTTTAGACTCAGCCTTTAATGGGACCTCTTGAACCAAGCCAGGCATCTCTACCTTGCAATACTCACCTTTAACACCTCACGCTTCTTTAAATATCACACTTATTCCATAATGATGACCAGGGGAGTTTTAAAGAGGGGTAAATAAAAAAGTAAATTTCCCACTGGACTCTCCCTCAAGATCAGAAAGCAGTGCAGCGCTTGCATGAGTCCCTCAGTGCGTATCGCTCCTATATGACCCCACACTAACAAAGGGCTTCCATCAACTCACTCACCTGCCCATCCACCCCTTCATACATCCATCCAGGCCACCCACCAGCCTCTACAATACGAGATGCTGGGTAATTGGAAGTGGGACCTCCCATTACGGGGTGCTGGTGGCATGTTCCAATTTTAGTCCATTAATGAGAACGTTGTTATTTTCTTCATCACACTGCACTGGCAGGTCTGAGTCGGCACCTTTCTCAGTTGGGCTGGAGAGGTGACCATGACTGCACAAACATGGAACGATACGGGCCATACAAACGCATGTGCACACATATCCTGACACACATAAGGAAACATTTTGTGATTATTAATTCAACATGAATCCCTATTGTTGTCATTTGATTACAGAGTATAATTTTAGGTTTTCCAGTTCTTAAAGCACAAATGTTTTGTAAACCTTAACAGTTAAATGTTTTGATTTGGCTGCAGCTTTTAGGTCAGTGTAAATAAATTACTTTTTTTTGACTCAACCACATAGTAGAGAGCGATTATTGCTGCCTTTTCCACCATCTGGTACACACATTTCCAGTAATTGCATTATATTCCTTTAAATACAAACCCCATTTCTAGTAAAGTTTGTGACATTTCCCAAAAAGCAATAGAAACTAAAATCAGTGATTTGTTTGAAACTTTATTTAACTGAAAAGTACAAAGGAAAGATTTTTGGTGTTTTCTCTGACCAACCTAATTGCATTTTGTAAATATAAACAAATTTAAGACAGCGACACTTCACACTCTCGTACACACAAAGCAAATGTAAAACCCTGTCTCTTTTGTAATGTCCTGAATTAACTCAGAAAGGTGAGACAGAGGCCTGTTTACCACTGTGTTACATGACCTTTCTTTTCAATTCCACTTTTTAATCGTTTGTAAACTGAGGATACTAATTGTTATAGTTTTGCAAGTGGAATATTGACCCATTCTTGCTGGATACAAGACTTCACCTGCTCAACAGTCCGTGGTCGCTGTGGTCTGATTGTCCTCTTCATGATGCACCATACATTTTCAGTAAGAGACAGATCTGGACTGCGAGCAGGCCAGTCACACACATGCACTCTGTGCCCGTGAAGCCATGCTGTTGTAGCACGTGCAGAAAGAGGCCTGACATCTTCCTTCTGAAATATCCACGGACTTCCCAGGACAAGACGTTACCCCAATGGCAGCATGCCTCTCTGAAATCCCAGTACATGCCTCTGGGTTGGTGGTACTTTCATACATATGCAAGTAACCCATGCCGTGGGCACTGATGCACCCCCACACCATCACAGATGCTGGTTTTTGACGACAGTTTGTATGGTCTTTTTCATAATTGGCACAGAGAACCCAATGTCCATTTTCCTTGATGACAAGCTGAAACATGGACTCGTCTGACCACAGAACATGTTTCCATTGTTCTATCTGAGATAAGCTCAGATGGGACCTCACTTATGCTTCCTCCTTGCCTAATAGAATATCATGCTGTATTTCTGGATGTAGAGCTGGACTGTGTTAAGAGCCAATGGTTTTCCAAAGTCCTCCTGAGCCCATATGGCTGTATTCATCAGGGTAGTATGACGGTTTCTCATGCAGTGCCTTCTGAAGGTCACGCACATTCAGCAGTGGTTTTTGCCCATGGCTTTTATGCACTGAGATTTCCCAGGATTCCACAAATGTTTTCATAGTATTATGTAATGTAGATGTTGAATAGTTTGCAATCTTGTATAGAGAAATAGTCTTTGAACTGACTGACAATCCTCTCCTGGTGTCTGGTGCAAGGTGCTGGTGATCCTTGACTGCAAAGACTGAGCCTTTTGTAGCCAGTCATGAAACCCTCACTTGTTACCAACGAACCTGCTAATTGTGGAGTTTTCCAGAATGGTGTTACTGGAATATTCTAAAAACATTTATTTACTCTTTGTCCCAACTTCTCTGTGTGTTGCATCAAATTCAAAATGTGTTTATATTTAAAAAATGCAATTAAATTGGTCAGAAAAAAGACTGAAAAGCTCTTCTTTGTACTTTTGTCAGTTAAATAAAGGTTCAAGTGAATTAATACAATCAGATTTCTATTGCATTTTGGAAAATGTTCCAACTTTTCTGGAAATGGGGTGTGTAGTATGGGGAGATTTTCACTGTGTCTGGACAGGAAGTCAGGACAGATTCAAGCAATCTACAAGGAGTTCAAAAAGATCCTTCCTCATCAGTGGGGTAACATCCAGACTGTGTTGCTGTCTCTTGTTTTAGACGTCCATGTATCTGCAGATGGCCCAAGCCAGAGGAAGGGCTAGCCGCGCAGCTGAACCCAACGCGGTGCACGAGACACTCGAACTCAAGGTGCGATGTGGGCCCTGTCTGCACCACAGCCCTGCATACTGCCTGGGCTCGTGGTCACCAGCAGCATGCTTCCTCTCTTTGTATCTGAGCACATTTTTGTCAACACCACCTTCCACTTGGCCATCATCTGTTTATCTCAGTAACACTTGGCATGCAACGTTTCCAGTTCGTGCATAATCTTGAAGTTTTGTGTAACATGCATTTAATTTCACGTAATGTTGTTTCCATGTTTTCTTTGTGTAAGCCTCATTGTCTGAGCACCCTTTCTTATCGTCATTGTCCTTTTTCTGCTTTGCATTTATACTAAATGCCATATTTTGCATGAGAGCTGGGTTAAAATGGAAATGGCTTCTCAGGCTGCTAAAAAAAATAATTTGACTTTTACACACAATTAATTAAGCAGGCTTTTATTGTGCATGACATATTTTTATTTAGCATATATTTAGCAGCGCCCATGAACAACAGACAGCCTGATCATTCATCCCACTTATCTCTGAAAACACAGGATGTCCCACCCATCAGTCCTTCAGCCCACCGAGCCCTCCACCTTCTGTAGGAATGTGGTGCAGTCTCTCCCACAGAGGCGGCAGGACTAGTCAGCATCTGTCCCACTCCCACAGTGAGCTCTGTTAGCCCAGAGCAAACACCAGCCATCTGTAGCCAACTAGCTGAGCAGCAAAGGAAATATAAGGGCCACATACTTCAAAATGTCTACACTGTTTGATCTCTCCAAGCACTTGAAACACAGAAGGAACTTTTTAAGGATGTAGGGGCTTTAGGTGAAGTGGGACAATTTGAAAATGTTCCAGCTTTTTGTTTTCTTGTCAGATTTATTTTTATGGTACAACTTTTCTGAAGGCATGTATTTTATTGCAGTAGTAATAACATGTTCAGGGCAGAGTTTCCCTCTGGTACTGTACACAAAAAATGTTTGTGACTTTTTTTTCTACATGTCAACATCTGGCATGGCTGGGACTGAGCTGCCAGCACCTTCCTGTTTGCATAAGTGGTGATTTTAATCAGAGATGAGCAGGGAATTGTAAATGTTGCATGTGTGGTCCAGTGAAGTGAATTTGGCACAGTGCCATATTTTCTCCCCTGCTTTTTTGCTGATGCGCAGTGACCGAGATGTCTCCATCTCTGTCCCCTATGGAAGTGAAAGATGGGGGTTGGACATGCTTTGGTCTGTGAGGCAGGGCTAGGGGACATGTCACCTCATGTCACTTCCCCCACCCACCCCCCCAC